CCCCTTGGGATGAAAACATGCAAGTTTTCATACATCTTGTCATTGTTTTTCTTTTTCCTCATTTCATCCATATTGTTAAAGAAGACAAGATTTGGTTCAAATTACAATGTAAATTGGTTTACGTTTATCAACAGGCTTAATTCACAGGTGTGCTATTTTCCTTTTGTCCACCTGAACAACTAACCACTTTGTATGTAACTGTATCTGCACTTCATTACTTCTGTAGACTTCTAACCTTTGTATTGATGGAATAGATAAACAAACTGATGCTTACTTTGTAATAAGTGAGATAGTTTTATTTCTAACAATCTTAAAATGCTTTTTGGGGAAACTACAATTTTATATCATCTATATAAGCCATTGTATTTTATTATTTTAAAGTTTACATTAAGACAATTATTATTTTTTTTACAGTAATGATTATATTAGTTCAATTTTAAGAAGTCATGTGCATTTATTTTCTTATTCTTTTTCTTAATCATTTCATCACAAATAAGGCAACAAAGCCACTAACATGCAGGGGGTTACTGACTGTCAAAGAATGTAAGAACATTAAGGAATGTGAACAATAAAGGAACAGAATTTAAGAGGACAGAAGATAACAATTGACATTGCATTTAAACTTTTGAAGATCAAACTTGACGGGAAAGAGAGAAGTGTGAGAAAAGAGACTGTTAGCATAGAACTTACGGTTACATCTAGTAATTTCAACTGTAAAATGAAGAGATTTTGCTGCCAATCTCGTACTTCACTTAAATTCATAGTCTAGGTACCACAGAGGAACATCAGAATATTTACCATGAAAATATTTATAGAAGTGGCACAGGGAAGCTACATTATGATAGTGGGAAAGTGACTGAAGCTGAGATGCCAGGTCAGGACCAATAAAATTACAGATTCTTATTTGGATTTTATCAGGGATTTTTAAATATATGATCTGGAGCCCTTTCTGTTTGTCTCAAGGTCCTTGATAAAAACCAGAGACAGATATGCAATGTAATTGGCCCTGATCTGGTATCTCGTCTGCAGTCGCTCTCTCACAGACCTGCCGTCGCCTCCTTCTGTCTTTCTACAAATACTTTCATGGTAACTGCTCCGATGAACTGCTTTCACTGGTTCCCAGACTTCATGAATTTAAGTGTTCAACTAGGCTGGCATCTCGCTCTCACCCTTTCACTGTCAAAACTGTTAAATGTAGCCGTCTCTTCTACTCCAATAGCTTCATGTCTCGCACTTCTCGCCTGTGGAACTCCCTCCCCTTTTCCTGTTTCCCTTATGGTTATAATCTCCAACTATTCAAATGTAATGTTAATCAACGTCTCCAGATGCCCTGATCTATCCCCTATCCTTCTCTTCATCCTTTCCTCTATCCCTCCTCTTTGCTCTAGCTCCAACTCTCCGTAACCCCTTGCGTGCTAGTGGCTTCCTGCATTGCTTGGGGTGAAATGCTTAAAAAAAAATATATATATATAAGGAGCACCAGATCAGATGTGGCAGTGATATTCTAATGATGGTTGAATGGTAGACTTGTAAATACATAAGAGAGATTCTGATAAGAAAAACTGTCTAGTGCAACACAGTGAACCAACCTTTTTAGATGCTACAAATAACTTATTTTAGGCAGGTGGACACTTTTTTTTTAATTTTTAATTTTTTTTAGCAAATGGCCTTCTGGGTATTTGGCATTAAGTGAAATCTTTCTATAAAATTTTGAAAAATACTCATTCACTTTTCATAACCTATTAAATATTTAGCTGTAATTTCTAACCCATATATTACAGGATGGTCCGAAAATCTTGTCATCTCCTACCAAAAAGTAATGAGATGAATAGAAGAACAAGTAATACAGTAATACAACGCACATGTACTGAATTCAGTTTCTTCACTTTCATTGAAACTGTCACATATCGAGAAGGTCTGTATGAACATCATTTTCGTGGCACAAAATGGTGTGGCATCATGTCCTGTGTGATATTTTATGAAGCTGTACTTTGTTGTTGCAAAGGCTCTCAGAATGGTGTCCTTCAACTGATGGGTATTTTTGGTATCATTCATGTGAAATTCCCTCTTTGATAATGCCCCACAGTGTGTTGAAATAGAAAATTATATTATGTAGGCATGACAAGACTTTCGGAACACTCTGTATCTTCATTAGTTCTAAAATGTTTGAGAAAATAATATATGTAAATTGCAGTTTTCATTTAAGTTTATAATTTTTTTATTGCATGAGATATATATATATGTGTGTGTGTGTGTGTGTATATATATATGTATATATATATATATATATATATATATATATATATATATATATATATAATAATAGTTTTAAGTTATGCTATAACTATTGGTAAAAGTGCTCAATATCTGAGATAGAATGTATATAAAATATAAAAGTGGACACCGAGGTCAACACCAATTAGTTACAGTTTGTTTCATGCTTGAGCACAATCTTTGAGCCACATACACACATACATATGGGATAATGATACATGAATTTTTATATATCAAGGACACTTTTTGAGGGAAGATATATGACAAAGTGTAAAAATTTTTTGTATGATGCATTTTGTCCTTTAGAACTTATCAAACTTGGTTTGTTAAAACCTAGTCCAATGAAGAAGTCCTACAGGACAAAATGTGTCATACAAAAATGTTTTCCACTTTGTTATATATATATATATATATATATATATATATATGTTTCATTGAACAAGCTGGACAAGTTACTTTTGTTTAGATTTTTATTATATTTTTCTTGTATATGGATGAGTATGTTCTTTTCTGGACTTGATGAATGTAAAAATTGTCCAAAAGTTTGTTGGTTCAAACAACTGTTAGTCATTTTCAAGGATTATTTATTGTGATGCTGATATAATTAATGGTGTATAAGTGCTATTGCAGATAATATAATAGTTTTTTGGGTTGTGTATTTGGGCAGCAATCCCTCTTTAATACATGTTTCATTGAACAAGACTGACAGGATATGAGGTATGATCAAAAAGTATTGGTACTGTTGCTATGGTAATAAAGCTAAATTATGCAGAGTGAAGCTGCTTAGCACAGATTGATCTTCAACACTGTCATGCATGCACACTAAGTTATAACATTCTTGCTCACTTCTTCTGTTTATAGAAGTGCTTGGAAGGAAAGTGTGTAGAGTGTGGTCATCTCACCACACCACAGAGGTTCCATCAATGACCATGACTTGTGCAGCAGTTTTGAAAAAACATTCCCCAGATCTCACCCTTCCAACATTTTCCTCTTCAAAAATCAAATCCCACTTGAAAGAAACAAGATTTCAAGACATTGAAGAAGTCCAAGAGAATGTGACATGGCAGTTGTTCACTATCCCCAAAAAAGGAATTCAAGGAATGCTTCCATTAATGGAAATAACACTGGATAAATTATGTGGCTTTAGAAGTGGACTACTTTGAAGGAGATTAAATGCCTAATTGATGATGTGTTGTACTTTCCTTTTTTCATATCACGCATCCTGATACTTTTTTTTTTATTAGACTTTGTACCTTTTTTTTCATTTTTTTAATGTTTTTCTTGTATGCGAACAAGGGTTTTCTTTTCTGGACTTAATAAATGTGAAAATTGTCCTAAAGTTTGTTGCTTCCAAGTGTTTTGAACTAAACTAATAGCCATTTTAAAGAATTATTTATTGTTATACTACTAAAATAATTAATACACCATTTATTATAGTAATATAGCAAAAGATAATCATTGAAAATGGCTAACATACCTTTTTGATTAAAGTTGAGATTAATATATATATATATATATATATAATATATATTTTTTTTTTTTTTTTTTTTTTTTCTTACAGTAAGGTTCATCCTGTACAAGGCCTGGGAGCCATTTGAGGTAGAGGGTTGCAATAAGGGGTAGCTTATATGGATAGGAGCTGAAGATAATGGTTGACTCTAGACTTGAACAGGTTAGTGATCAGAGAAACATCCTCTAAGGAGTCTGTTCTAGGGCAATGGTTCACAGGAAGAAGCTGTTTGAGTGGAACTTACTTCTCGCTAATGGAATATGGAGGGAATGTGGGTGGTTTGTTATTAAGTAGCATGGCAGGTCCTAGCCATGAAAGTCAGATCTGATGGAATGATTAGATGCAGTTCATCGGAGCACTTTCCATGGTAGTAGTAATGGTAGCAGTGAGAGACTTGCCACATCCCGCCGATAAGAGAGGAGTTTGAGCATGGAAAATAATTCTTCTCTAACAAGGACTTGCAAGTGCTTTTGACCTCTATCAGGACTGGAAAGTGAGATTTTGGCAGCTCCTGTCCAAATATGAAAACAATACTCCATTTTCGGCCTGATCTGGCTCTTATAAAGGTAGAGGATAACAGGAGGAGTCAGGTACTTACTGGAGCGGTACAGGGAGCCAATCATTTTACTTGCATCTTTAGCGATGGATTGTATATAGGAATTCCACTCTAGGTTGGGTGTGAGTTTGAGGCTCAATATCCTCTCAAAGCATGGGGCCTCCTTGAGGGGAGATCTGTTCATTGTGATTGGCAGTAGTCTGTGGTCTGATTGGGGGTGATAGAATGTAACCAGTTTAAATATAAATTAGTTGTTTCCAAAGAAATGAGTATTAAAAGTAAGAATAATGCTTATATATGCTCATTATTTTCACAGGCTTTTTTTTTTTTATTTGGGTTTTCTGATGTAAAAAGATTTTGAGAATAAAATGTTCATATTTTGATGTTGTTTTCTTTTGCCTAATGCAAATCTGACAGTGGGACTGTTCCTGATTCATTTATAACCTCTGTAAATCTTCTGAACTACTTTTTTTATTTAAAAAAACAAAAACACAAAACAACTTTACTGATTTATATTTGCCTAAGCTGTTAAAGGTGAATGAATACCATGCATACATCCTGTTTTAGGGAAGGTGAAAGAAAGTTTCAAGTTAAACGAGTAAAAAGAAAACAATGATGCTGAATGAAATGGTCGGGGAGCAGTTCTTGAAATGAAAAACAATGGCTAATCTGTGTCTCTTTTCTTATCTCTCTTGCTCTCTCTGTCTTTGTTCCTTTTTTTCTCTCTCTCTGTTCCTTTTTTTCTCTCTCTCTGTTCCTTTTTTCTCTCTCTCTCTCTCTCTGTTCCTTTTTTCTCTCTGTTCTTTTTTTCTCTCTGTTTTTTTTTTCTCTCTCTCTCTCTCTCTCTTCCTTTTTTTCTCTCTCTCTCTCTGTTCCTTTTTTTTCTCTCTCTGTTCTTTTTTCTTTCCTTTTTCTTTTTCTTTCTCTCTCTCTGTTCCTTTTTTTCTCTCTCTCTCTGTTCCTTTTTTTCTCTCTCTCTCTCTCTGTTCCTTTTTTTCTCTCTCTCTCTCTCTGTTCCTCTCTCTCTCTCTCTCTCTGTTCCTTTCTCTCTCTCTCTCTCTCTCTGTTCCTTTCTCTCTGTCTCTGTCTCTCTGTTCCTTTCTCTCTGTCTCTGTCACTCTGTTTATTTTTCTCTCTCTTTGTTCATTTCTCTCTCTCTCTCTCTTCATTTCTCTCTCTCTTTGTTCTTCTCTCCTATCCCTCTTTCTGTTCTCTCTCTCTGTCTCTGTTCTTTTCTCTCTCTCTCTTTGTCTTTTCTCTTTCTATCTCTTTCTTCTTCTTTTTCTCTCTCCCTATCGTTTTCTCTACATCTGTCACTCTATCTTTCTGTATTGGCCTTTCTCTCACTTTTCCTTTCGGGTTTTGTTGGAGCTTATATTTTCATAATGATGAACGAATTGGATAAACTTGTGCAGGCATCAGTAACCCCATCAAATCTTTTCCTCTTTGAGAACCTGCCTGTGGACGTGTTGGGTTGGGGTGTGGGAGATGAAGCCGATCAGCAATTACTTTTTGGGTCTTCTGCTTAGCATAAGAAAAGTACCTTCCTGGAGAGGGGGGGAAGGGGTGAACTACTACTTCTTTATGCCACACATGCTCTCTCTTCTCTCTCTGTCTTACCTTAGCTTTTAACTGAAACTTTTCATTCAAGAAAAAATAAAATAAAAATATAAACTGTATTTATAAGAATATTTACAGAAATCTGTTGTAGACATTATATTTGTACTTGATTATCTTTTTATGTTGTAGCATTGTGTATTTGTCATAGTTACATTTTTGATTAGAATAAAGTTTCTCCTGTCCTAAATTTAAAAAAAAAAAGAAACAAAAAACCCCTCAAAAACAAACTATAAAATTTATTTGCTGCCCTCTTTTCAATTTTTAAATGGAGAGAAAAATTTTTGACCCAAACCCCCGACCATTTATTGTGTCTTATTTTTATTTTCTTTCGAGTACACTTTTTTTTTTTTTTTTTTTTTTTTGGTGTGTGTATGTGTGTGGGGGGGAGTATGAAATATTTTGAAAATTAATTAAACAAAAAAGAAAAAGGTCAAAGGTTACTTAATTTTTATTTTGCCAAATTTGGTTTTGTTTACTTTTATTGCTATTACACCCAATATGTTATTTCTTTTTCTTTCTATCTATTGTCTTGTCTGTTTTCCTGTCTTTCATTTTACTGTTGGTTTGCCCAGTAAATCAAGTGATTTTTGTTATTGGGAGATTTGTATCCCTTCTGTCAGCAAATGGGCTTGCAGTATATTGCACAATAATACTACCAATTAAAGTAAAAATTGACTTCATAAGAGTGCAATTCTTTTATAATTAACATTAATAATTTCTTCCTGGCCAATATTTTAGGCCACTTCTCTGACTTAGTTCTATTCTTTTTTGTCTTGAATACTGTGGTCACTTGTCTGTATGCCTTTTGTCTGTGAGGCCTTGTTACTGTTGTGTGGCCTTGCATATATTTTTTGCTCAATATTATTTTTGCCATTCTTTTCTGTCTCTTGTTATTGTTTATTGCAAACTTTGTCAATTCTGTTTGTTGGGCATTTCTGCCAATTACATCTAACCATGGCCAATTACTCTACAGTCTTTGCTAATGATAAATAGAAAAAATGAAATAAAAAAATTGCATGGATTCAAATGCCTTTCATTTTCAAATGTTTTGTTTATATTCACTGGTCTGAACTCAAAGACAAACAAGTTACTTCAAATATCTCATCAAAAGTCTGACAATGATTTGCATTGATTGCATGGTAAACTCATATTTTTAAGATTTTTACTGGTTCACTTTATCAACATCAACCAAACATTGTCTTCAAGCAATATTTCCACCAAGGTTGAAACACGAACACTTCATATACACTTGTCTTTTACATAAATCTTCTTCCTTAAAAGATTCTTAATTCATTACCACAGTTTCAGCAAATACAAATGTGCCTGAGCATGTGTCCATAACAGGCATTAGATAGTGACTCTAGCAGACAGGTGTACTCAGAAAATGAATATCCCGCCATTATCATACATATACATACATATATATATATATATATATATATATATATATATATATATATTGGACTCTCCCATCATATTCAAAGTATGATGGACAAGCAGCTCAGTTACTAAGAACTGACAGCCCAGACACCAGCACATATGATTTGATTATAGTGGTGAAGTGGCCTAAAATATTGGCCAGGAAGAAATCCCAGCATGCATCTATATGTTTTATCTATTAATTTTGGGAGGGGATATTTTTGCAGTCATTGAACCAACAAAGACAATCATTTGAATGTGTATCATGGTTTGAGGGAATAAGTTTAAAATGATCCACATTTTTTTTACTGAACCTGTGAAACTTATTTTTAATATAATTCTAGTTATTTTGGGTATGTCTCCCACACATGTGCATCTATATAAGCGTCTAATTATTACTTATGAATATTTATACATATTAAGAATCTGTGTGTACACAGTTTTGTTTTATAAGAATATTTTGTCATGTGCCTTTGTAAGCATTTATTTAAGTTGTTCATTTGCCACAAGTTCTTATACATATCTGTGTACTCAACTCTATATGCATTCACACATGTTGGCAAATTTCATCATTCGTTTTGTATAAAGAAAAAAATACATACCCTCTTTTTCTCAGTCCAATCATACACTGCTCTTTGCTCAAATGCTTTTCTCTTTCTCTCTCTTGAGCTACTTTGGAAGTGAAAGCCCGTGGTATTCGATTGCTATTTATCATGAAGGACAATTGAACTGTTTCTGGCAGCACTTGAGCACTCGGTTGCCTAGGATCTGAATAACAGTTGAGTGCAAAAAGACAATAGTCTGAATTGTCAGCACAGAATCTAGATACAAGATTCAGGGTTGCCTCGATTTAATTTGCCATTTCATTCTAACTAATAACTAATTATAAGAATTAATTTTATTTATTTTTAACTTTGCATGTTTGCTTATATTTTTGGTAGCATGTGAGCATGCATGTGTTTGCAACAATAAGTACATATTACTTCATTGTACTGTGTTATATACATATGCACACACAATAAATATGATCAGTTTTATAAATTAAAAGAATAACGATAGAATATTTTTCAAACTGTCCCATACACATTTTTATATGCCAAATGTAACAACTATTATGGGATGTATATTAAATGCTTTATTAAAATGGGAATTTTTTTAAATAGAAAATTAAAAAAAATTTTTTTAAAATACACTAATTTGACATGTTTTAATGTGAAGAAATTTGCTTTCATATGAATTTTGTTTGATATTTATATACAGTACTCTTTTTGTATCAAATAAAATTGATGCCTGTAATAATCATGCTGATATGAATTTTTCATTTTCTAAATATATCTGTTGAGAGAAAATACAGTAGAATCAAAGAACTGAAGAAGAGTTTGACAAACATTTGGGATGCTTAAATGATTCCTGAAATAGGTTGAAACCTAGAGACCTCTATACATTGATGAAGTGGAGAAATGATAAAGTACCATGGCTACAATCCTAAATACTCTTTTGTACTAAATCTATATCTGGAATAGTCATGCTGGTGAGAATTTTTGTACCAAATACAATTGCTGTCTGGAATAGTCATGCTCATGTGAATTCTTGTGTCATTTATAAGTGTATGTGGTAAAAAAGAAAATTACAAATGTTGTCTTGAATAATAATGCTAGTTGAAATTGTTATATCAAGTACAAGTACCTCCTGGAATAGTCATGGTGGTGGGAATTTGTGTACCAAACAAAAGTCCTGTCTGGAATAGAGAATTTTTCAATTTATAAAGTAAACATATCGGTTGAGAAAAAAAAATACTATATAATCATAAATTTGAAGATGAGTCTGACAAACTTTTGGGATACTTAAGACTCCTGAAATATGTTGAATCCTAGAGATCTCTCTATATATCGATAAAAAGAAGAAAAGCACCATGGCTATGATACTAAATACTCTCTTGTACCAAATATAAGTCTTATCTCAAATAGTCATACTAGTAGAAATTTTTTCAACTGATTTTATAAATGTGTCAATCCAAATAACTATTCTATCAGGAAATGTTACAGATGAGTTTAATATACTAAAAATAATTGTACTATTTTAAATATAACAATATGCTGTACTAAATAAGCACAAGGCCATTGGGGGAGGGAATTGAAGGGCACATGAAGGTATAGAAGCCTTATGGATTAAAGCATTGGTTTGTTAATTTGGTGACAAGGTAATTGTGAGTTCAATTCCTGGGCCAGGTAGTACAAAGTTAGTGGAAACAGGGTAAGCAATAACTGAGCCGCACTAAATAAGAATAAAATGTGAAATCCTGAGACATGGACAGTGAAATGAGAACACTCTATTCCCATTGATTAAATAATGGTTTCAGTTTGTGGGTTATCCAATGTCACTGGGGTCACTCTTTAAGCCTATAAAAAGGTGTGCATTTCTCTCCCTAGCCTCTTTTACAGCTTTTTAGCTCTGGCTTTCAGATGTAGTTGCATATTGGTAAAAAGTGTCCCCCACTGGGAGACGTTCATTTTCATGGTTTTCTCTCAACTTTTGCACTCTCTCATATACGCTTGTTACACGTGCACACACACACACACACACACATATTCTTATTAGAGCTAGTTTCATTTTTTTCCCTTTCGTCACATGTAATTACTTTTGTTAATACTTGCATTGTCATTTGTTTTATATTTAGTGTTTTGTGTCACTCATTTATTTACTTGGACTCACATTAACTCTGCCAATATTGTTTGTGGGATAAATTTTCCAGGAGCCCATAAATATTTACTCTCCAAAGTGTTGATTCCCACAACATAAGAATGACTAATATTTACCCAAACATACAAGTAACACACAACAATTTCATAATTCCTTGAAGAAGGCTGGAGAGCATAACTGCTGAAACCTGATATCTACAAAGATGAGGACATTAGTTTGAATGTAAATAATGTAAAAGGATTTGATAGACACATTGTAAATCCTTCTGTGTGTATATTGGGGTGGGGGGTGGCAGTGTGTTTATCTTAATGTGTAAATTCTATTACACATGCACAAGCTTTATTTGATCTTGAAGTTGACAACTTTCATTAAGCTGAAGTGTATATAAGTTTTAGGCTAAAGTAAATTTTGTGCACACATTACATTTATTTTTAAGGAAAAAGAACCTTCAACTGCTGATTTTGTTTTTGATAACATTTTAGATGCAATGCTTTTAAGATGTAAAAGAAAACATTGCTGCGAATCATTTTTCTGTATTTGTTGCAATGCATGAAGAAGCTTTTAAGGAAAAATCTTTATGTAAAAGACAATTGGATATGAAGTCTTCATGTTTCAGACATGGTGAAAATGTTACTTAATGTTGGGCT